TGCTGCTTTCTGTCTAGCTCCCTTCCCTCAAAGTGCTCTCTATACTGTGAGTTTCCAATCGATCATCCTTTTCTCCCCTTCTCCCCATTTCTTTTTCTAGTTCTACCATTCCAGTGTCCTCCTCTCTTCAATGATTCTGCCATTAATTCTTCCTTCCTGTCCTCTATATCTGGATGGAACTCCCAACCTACAACATTTACAGTGCTATGGCACACCTACCCTCTGCTTCAGACCCTTTCCTCAAAACCCACCTTTTCTACAGAACCTTTTATTTCAACCCTTCATCCTCATCCCCAAATGTAACAAAACCCAAGAATGTATAACTGGATGTCTCAGTTCATTCCACTACTATGGATTCTCCAGTCTCCTCTATTGTCTCCCTTACCCAACTAAGCACCTCTGGGTGGTGCTTCACATTACCCTGTAAAATGATGTGTACAGGGATGGCACCATAACAGCATTTTGGAAAGGCCCTGAAGGCAGGCTTTTTTAAAAAAATAACCACCATGAACACATGCTTACTTGGCAGGAGTCACAACAATGTGGTACAGCACATGCATGCAGACGGTCTCGGGTTCAGTACCTGCCATCTCCTATTAAAATACCTTTGCTAGAAGGATTCTGACAAAAGGCTCCTGGTCTTGTGACCCTGAAGAGACACTGAGTTACAATACATCATACTTGCCCAGATGGATCAGTGGTCTGACACTAGGAAAGGCAGTTTCACATTCCCAATCACTCTAAAACAAGCTACTAGAAGCAAGAACCCCAGGCCAGAAACACCTTCCCCAAGACCTCTGAGGCTCTATTCACTGCTTTCCTGTGTGCCCATTCAAGTGCTGTCAGGTTGCTTCTGATTTATGGTGACTCTATGAATTAATGACCTCCAAAATGTCCTATCCTTGACAGCCTTGCTCAGGTCTGACAAACTGAGGGCCACGATGGCTTCCTTCACTGAGTCACTCCATCTCATGTTGGGTCTTCCTCTTTTCCTGCTGCCTTCAACTTTTCCTAGCATTATTTTTTCCAGTGACTCTTGTCTTCCCATAATGTGACCGAAGCATGACAACCCCACTTGTCGTGTCACTTTAGCTTCCAGGGAGAATTCTTTTGCTCTTTTCAGTTACAGCCCGAAGCCTTGCACAGCCACTGACGGCTGCCATGTAGTTTCTGTTGCTGCTATCATCTGACACTTGTTTAAAAACAAGCTTTACTCCCTCTGGAAAAGTAGCTAATTTCAAGGCTGTTCCAGTATGTTTGTGTGGACCTTTGGTGCCAATGTGTAACTGACACAGGCAGCAACATTCAGCCTAAATATCATCTGGATATTTTAAATGATCAACAAATCCACAAAAATCACGGTACACCCATTGGCACACAGTTATGTTAATCACTTCTGGCAAAGAAAGAAAAGAGAAAGAAAAAAAGAATGAACTAATGCTCATTATGCTTCCATGTCTGATCACCCAGAAATATATATTCTTACCTGGAGACAAACCAGACAAGAAAGCTATTTGCAATCCTGTTAGAAGCAAATGATACTGCAATTGCTAAGTACTTTGTTTAAACAGGGGTGCGCAAAAACAAATTATGCAAGAGCTGTAACAGAAACAATGCCACAGTTTTTGGAAGGTTATCAGAAAAATAAGTTGCAGCAAGTTTATCCCTCCTCCACCAAAGGAGATAAAACACTGCCAAGTCAAAAAGAAATGTATGTCAAGCTTGGGAGGACAGGAGAAACGGAAACAAAGAACTCAGACAAATTGTTTCCAACTGGTGAAAATATTGAACTAGACTTGAAAAATACAGAAAAGCACAACCAAATGCTTTTGCTCCCTGGCGAATCTGCAAGTTATGTGACGGCCACCCATTTCTTTAACTTCTTTCCCT